AGGTAACATATAGTTCTATAACTGATTGAAGTTCATTTGAATCGTGAATGTTGAAGATTGCCTCAACCTCCTCATCATCGTTCAACTCAACACATCAGTAATTGCTCACCCCTGCCCTAAGTCTAATTGGGTAGTGAAAATGTATGGTTTCCACCCTTTCATTTTCATGTCATCGAAGTTTTGTGTGGATTATTTTGTTCATCCTTTGTAGAGTTACTTCTTTCCTTAATTGAACCAATTTAGCTAGTGGTGAGGTGAAGGTGACACCTTCATTAGGATAATTGTTAATGGCACCATCAAATTGAATAATGACATATATTGAAGACATGTTTTGAAAATAATTAAGAAAGGTTGAAAGAGATTTTGAGAGTGAAGAAAAGGAACAAGTATAGAATGAGATTGCAAGTGTTTCTAAGTGAAGAAAAGGAAAAATGTTATGCCTATTTATAATGGTTTAGGGTTTGTTTGAAATTAAAACAAATTTGAAATCCGAGTCTTGGATTCCTTTCTTTATAATTATGGGGTCCACGTTCTGAGAGTGAAGGTGACCTCTTCGTCATGCCTTCTGACGTGCACACTATGCGAGCAAGCATTGATTCTATGTGGCGCCCATGCCCTATGAGTGAATGTGACCTCTCAATCATGTCTTCTAACATGCATGTTATGCGAGCATGCATTAATTCCATGTAGGGCCTATGCTTTGCATCTGAATGAGACCTTTTAGTCACGCCTTCTGATGTGCATGTTATGCGAGCAAGCATTAATTCTGTGTAAGGCCCACGCTTTGTATCTGAATGTGACCTCTTAGTCACGCCTTCTAATGTGCACGTTATGCAAGCAAGCATTGAATCCATGTGCCCACGCTTTGCATCTAAATGTAACCTCTCAATCATGCCTTCTCTTCTCCCAAGAGAGCATTGGATTCCTTCTCATGTGCAAGTGTTTCTCTAGGTGTGGGCTCAGTCATCCCTTCTCATTCACACATCCACCTTCTATAAATAACCATGCTCATTTTCTTTCAAACCTTGCATTCTCACTTGCATACTTCTTTGTTTTGTTTCTCACTTATAACCAACCAAAAATGTTGTTGTGGAAGCAAAACGAACACAAGTGTGCCTTCATTTGTGGAACGGTAAGTTTTACACAATATCGTTATTCAATATCTATACATAATGTACCTAATTTGTTAATCATTGTAGGAGATTGAAAATATTATTTCCTCTTACTGGCATTCAATGCCAGAACCCCACCCTCTAATTATTCCTATACTAGAGGAAATTGGTTTTTATAAGGTTGCAAGCCTAAGGCATCTTAAGGTGGATCACCCATTGGTAACAACTTTGGTCGAAAGGTGGAGACCTAAGACTCACACATCCCATTTTCCAACAGGGGAGTGCACCATAACCCTAGAGGATGTTGCATTTCAACTTGAGCTAAGAGTTGATGGATTACCAGTCATTGGCCCAATAATGTTTGACTAGGAAGAAGTGTGTTCCACATATCTCGACATCGTGCCAATCAAAGAAGAGTCACTAATTAGCTTTATGATCAAGCTAAAGTGGCTGAGAGACAATATGTTGGAATTACTATAAGAACCATTTGAAGAAAAACTTCACGCCCATTGTAGGGCATATACATTAGGTTTAATTGGAGGTGCTTTGATGCTTGACAAAATAGGCAATAAAGTACATCTTATATATTTATCTTTGTTAACTAATCTTAGAAGAACAAGACGATATAGCTAGAGATTTGCTTGTTTAGCTATGTTATATAGGGAAATGTGTAGAGCCATAAATGTTATGAGCAAAATAATGGGTGGTTGTGCACCACTGTTACAGTCCTGGGCATGGCATCGCATGCCATATACTACACCAATTTACAGAGTACCACCAACATACCCTTTGGTGTGCAAATGGAGCGGGGGTAGAGTACTCAACTTTCGAAAACTTACAAACTTAAGAATCAGGCGAGTTACATACCTTACCTGTAGATGCTCCATATCCTGAATAATCATAGTTGAAAGCATAGAACGAAATTGAAAGAAACTAATAAATAAACATAAAACTAAATATATAAAAAAGCAAGAAATTAAGTTCTCCAATTCTCGACAAGAATCAAAACTTTTCTAGTTTAAATAACGAAATCCTAGAAAATCATGTTGTGATGTGGATTTATATCCAGAAATTATACTTTCTCACTTTATAAGAGCTAAATCCTACAAAAAGGCCAAATTTTTATTTATTAATTTTACTTAAAATCCTAATAAACACTTATAGAAAATAAAACAAAACTGAAAACAAAATCTTAAATAACAATTTTATTAATTATTCAAATAATAAATTACGTTAATTTTGTAAATACTTTTTTGTTTCTATTAAAAAAGTATTTACACACTCAAAACTTAAAATGATATTAACATTTATGTGTATATATATATATATAAAGAAGAGGGATCCTTTTATTCTAGGAATAAGTCTACCTAAACTTATTCCGTTTAATAACTCATGTTTAACATCAAATTTCAACGGTCCGGCTATTCAATTTAAAATTCTTAATGCATAGATTAAATCTGCAAACTTTTAGAAAATTTGAAAATCATTTGATACTTCGTTTCATTAATTCGAATCAATGTATAAAATAATTTTATGATTATCTGTCAATAACTTTTAAAGTATTATATCACTCAATAACTTTACATTAAATGTGAATTTTATAAATCTAACCGTTAGATTGAAAATTCATATCATTTATATATTTATATTAAATTTTTTAATATTGAACAATAACTTAAAAATAAACAAAATATTCATATTTTAATATATTTTAAAATAAATATATTACGTCAAATTTATTATAAAAAATAAAATATTAAATTATTTTAAATTAATATAAAATTATATATATATATATATATATATAATCTAAAAATAAAAAAAATTTAATTTAATAATTAAATTAACAAAATTTATATTTAATATAAAATTATTAAGTAATATAATACTTAAATATAAACATATTTAAGTAAAAGTTTTAGCATTAGAAGGTACGCGTAGTAGGAATCACCTGACGACGGCTCAGACCTTGAGAGATAAAAATTAGATTGTTAGCATGGATGTGTCTTGATGTCAGTAATCGTACCGCTGTGTCAATATTTTTATTATATATTGCTGCAGAAAAGTGTAAACAGTGAATAGACCCATATATTATATAATATAAAGAATTACTATATTATTATTTAATCAAAATTTATTATGTAAAATAAATTTATTGAATATTATGATATGTATATATATATATATATATATATATATTGAAATTTATTTTATTAATAATTTCAAATTAACTGGCAGTAAAAATTTACAATGGTGAATACAAATTAAACTACATTTGACAGAAGAATTGTGATTTTACCTGAGAAGACAAATCCCGATGGGGGGAACAAACAGATAATATTGACTTGTCATAAAGAAGTCACAGCTTGACCAGATCCAAGAAATAATGTCATGAAGCAAAGAAATTCAATTCTAGATGATACTTGACTAAGTCAATGTCAAACCCCTTTATTACCTTTGACTGGAAACTCAATCTCTTAACAGATTCATAGAACTCAGTCTCGTGACAGATTCATCAATAGCACTACGCAGTTGCGGTCACATCTAAATATAAAATTGCGAATCATCATCATCATCAATGCATAATGTTTAAATTTATAGGCCCAAAAGCAACAGCAAAATCTTTAGTAGAATATATTTTCTCAACCCAAATTGTGGTGCACTTGTTTACTTTATTGCTAATGCTAATGCAACTCAGAATTAAGTTTAAACATGAAAAACTCAAAAAAGAAATAAAACAACATAATAACTCCATCGGCAATTAATTATGGTTAAGATTAAACAAAATCCCTTTAACAAGTTATAGCACTCTACTCTTACCAAATACATTTGCAAGCATGGTTCCAAATTACAGATAAAATCATATTATACAGTTGTAATGTTCCATTTCTAACAGTTTCCACCTGCATCATCACAATTGCAGAGTGATTAATAATAACAATAACTCTCTGTCCATATTAGATCATTTACAATCGGACTGCTTCACGCCCCAGCCGTTAAATTTTTTTTGTTTGGGACCAAAACTTTCAATAAATCAGTCATTCAATCATGAAATATTCGACATATTTAATCATTCAAACATTTTCAACCTCCCAAAATCACTTATATTTAATTTTTTTTATGAACTTAAATGCCATCTTCCACTTAAAAGTTAAAACTAGATGCCTCCTCCATCTTTTACACCATTTTCGATGCCTTTGCCACAATCAGCTCCCTCTATTTCACATTGATTTGTAGTGTTCACTTCCATTTTATATGTTTGGTTGTTGGTTATTGAAATCTAAAAACGGATCCAGATTCGCTGCAGTCAGTGATTTCATGCATTCACAGAGTTAGCAAATCAGAATTATTAGATAATGATTGGACAACTCACATTTTATCTTGGTAAATTAGACTTATAACACATTCAAAATCTGATCATCCAATCTTCATCCATCAGTTCTAATTCCTTAACTACAAAAATAAGTGAAATGGTTGTCCAAACAAATTTGAATCTTCTGAAACAAGTGGATAGATAGACATGTCATAACAATGAATTTAAGGGAAAAGGAAAGAGTAAGTGACAGGAAAGTGGCCAAAGGGGCCATAACAAAGGCCTTTACCAAAACTGCACAGTTAGCCAGTTAATGTTTGAGTTAATCTGGTGGTAAGGAGGGTTAACTTGTGATAACTGATGAGCTCAAGTCAAAGTATATTCAATTTTAGGGAACAAACTCTCCACATCCTCATTTTTCACTTATAATACTCCAATTCAAGACATTGCTTGACTAGAATCAAACTTTGTCTTATGGATAGAATCATAGCTTTTATGTAAAAAAAATGCACGGGTTATATAATTACAATAATAGGATTTGCTTCTCTTTTATGTAAACAAGTAAGGATTAGACAAAAAATAACAGCAAGAACATGTTTGCCAGTATAGGTAGGAGCTACATAAGCAAAAAGTATTGAATTACACATACTCACGATCAGAATCAGCTATAATGAGGATGCAGCAAAATACTGAGAAAACTGATTATACAATAAGCCACATCACAACACAAAGAGAGAAGAAAAAAAAAAAAAAAGCATAGACCACAAAGGTCTACACTTCCAATATCCTAAACTCTACATTTTTATGTGGTTCATAGATACAAGAATCCTCCCCCTTTACATACCACACAATTATCATGATCCTCAATTCAAATCACCATATCCTACAATCACTCCTTGGTTATCCTCCCGGTCATCTTTTTAGTCATTCACAAATTTCACTTATCTATGAAAACAAAATCAGGCTATGCCCTCAAATGAAAATGTTAAGCATCAACAAACAAACAATGGTTTTTCCTTTTTACCCTCTACCATGAGTGTCAAGCCCCTCAGTTCTGTCGCGCACAATCCGGCGAAACACCTCCCTCACTTGGCGTTCAAGAGGGTCCAAGCCATCCTTCAAGGCTCCACAAACCCTTGAAACATCTTGCACTATCTGCCTCACCTCCTCCCCCTTCTCCTCACTCAAAGGAAACTGCACAGAATCAGCCAAATCATTGATCACCCTAGCACACTTCTCAATCTGCTGAATCTCCCTCAGCAGCCCACAAGAGTTCTTCCTCTCCCTCTTCTTCGACTCCTCCAAGATCCGCTCGTGCAGCGCCGCCACCGGAGCCGCCCACGGGAGCTGCCTTGGCACAGAGAAATGGAGCCCAAGCCCACGGTCCTGGCAGGGAATGGCAGCCACAAGGGCCCACACCACAAACACCAGAATAGAACTCATTGTATAAATAGGCAAAGCAAGGCCATTGGTGGCCACAAGATCATTGGCCTTAGGAGGGGACAAGTTGTTCCCTATGGCTTGGAGCTGCTTAGCAGCAGACCAATTCCTTGACACACTCCAAGAAAGTGACCTAAAATGACCCAAGGAATTGTGGTGGTGATCCCTTGAAGCATTGTTGTTTCTACTACCAAATGACCTGTTCCTATGTGCTATGGAACCGTTTGAGTTGGAGTCCTTATCATCAAGCATTCCAATGGCCAAATCAATAAGCGCCTTCTTGGCGCGGCGAAATTGACCCTCACCAATGCTCCTCTTGTAATCCAATGCGCATAGAACAATATCCAACAGCTTCTGCCACTGCCTAATCTGTTCAACCCCATCACGAACCGCATTGCACACATCAAGAGCCTTCACACTTCTCTCGAAAAACTCACCCACCATGCGATCCAACTGAGGGTTCTTCGAAACATGACCCCTGTGGTTGTGGAGAATCGCCTTGAACTCCTCTTGGCAACAGAGGAACGAATCCAGAAGCTTCCTCACCCACGAAAGAGAGAGCAATTCGCCACTTTCAACTGAAGCTAGCTCCAGGAACCGCTCCGTCACATGCTTCTGAAACACATCAAGCTCTTGATCCATGCTTGAACCCTCCATGGAGTGAACCTGAACGCCACGAAGATTCAGAACAGAACCCTGAAATTCCGCGGTGGTGCGCATTCTCACACAGTGACACACACAAGATCACAGACCCAGTTGCTAAAAACCAAAATTGAATGGAAAAGTTTGAGGCTTTGTCTCCAATTCGGGAGCTTGTGTCACAGACGCATCGCCAGTGCGTGGAATTCAGCTTCCCAGGAACGAAAATTTTAGCTTCAAAGGGGAAAGTGCAGAAGTCGAAATCAGGGAAACCCAGAAACGAAATCCGAATTGGGTTGGGACCCAAGAAGGAACCGAATTGCTGATTGGGGATGTGAGAAAAAGTGAGAAACTTGGGAGAGGAATGAGACAAGGGAGTGAAGGAAGATGAGAGGAAATGGGAATGAGATGAGGGTTGGGAGTTGAAGAGAAGAGAGGGGTTATATATTGGGGATAATTGGACTGGACCGCGTTCTGTGGCTGTTGGAAAATAGAGGAAAATATTTAAAATAAATTAAAATTAAATAACTGTGCTAAAACTTAAAAATTATTTCCATAATGAGAAGTGAAAAATCAGGTAATTTTGATACATAGTGGTTAGTGAAAAATAAGGTTGTGTGAATAGCAAGTTTCGAAACGCGGTTCACACGTTTGAGACACGGTGGCGAGGGCAAGAAAAGAAACTACGTATTGATTGGTTCAATTCAACATCCTCCAAAGTGTGCTACCACCCGCCAAATCCAATTTAGTGTTTCATCATTTATTTTTTAAGACCAAGAGCATGAGTTTATTAAAGTAGTTTTTTTCTATTAAATATTACATCACTATTATTTTAAGTGTAATTTAGGACTGAGATATAAAATTATAAATATTTTATCTTTATTAAAATTATATTGTGCTTTTTTATATTTTATTGATTATTTTCTCTCTTTAATTTTATGATGGGGATAATAAAGAAATGATTCTTTTCTCTAAAATATAACACTTACAAAAGTTAGTAATTATTGTATGAATTTCATTATGATATTTCTTTTTTACTTTTTACTTTTATAAAGTAATTTTCTTTTAATATAGTGTAACTTCACAAAAATTATCAAATAAATCATACAAATTATCTTATATCTTTATATTTTATTAATACTTATTTTTATTTTTATTTTAACTTATAATTATTTTTATTTTTGAGAAATTTTACAATTAAAAATTAATTTTTAAATGTCGATCGAAATAATTTTACACTCTCAATTAACTTTAAAAAAACATTTTAAATAATAATTTATTACACATGACCATTTATGGCAATATAAAAATTATATTGTCAGTATATTTTAATTAAAATTATAAATTTATTTTAACTATTTTTCATAAATTTTATTATGTTTCAACTTATATAACCTTGCACTTTTAATTTAATTTGTAAAGTTACATTTATATTATATGCCAGTGTGATGCATTTGAATATATACCAAGATATAGGATAAGGAGACTAATACATAACAAATATTCAATTTATTAAATAATTTTTTGTTATGCATAGTATTTAGTTAACAATGAATAGCATAAAATAATATTAAATTTATTTCAAATTTTTTTAATATTAATTATTCTAATAAATAATTATGATTTTCATAATAATGATGAAAATAATAATAATTAAAATATTAAAAGTGTCGATAATAATAATAAAATGAGTATGATGGGATGGATGGCAAAAGGGACTTGTAGATGGCAAAAATGGTCATAGACAGCAACAATTATAATACTATATAGTAATGGTGAGGTTTAGGATAATATTGATAAAATAATGATATAAGAAATATTTTTATACTTGAGATAAAATATTGTTTCATAATTTATTAAATAATAAAAGATGATATTTTTATTTTGTTGTTTTTTATCCTTTTATCTTGTGCCGTTATTTTTTATTAAATCAAATAGAGAATAATCATATTTATTTTATTTAATATTTTATTTTTAATAAATCAAAGGGACCTACTCACTCCATGCGATATTACCTTTTAAGACGGTGACTTTTTTATTTTATCTTGTTATCTTGAAATACTTTTTTGTACGGATCCACTTTGCTCACAAGATTTTGTTGCTCATAAAAGAGTAAGGGGGTGTATTGGTTTAGGATTTCGTAGGATTTTAATTGCTCAAAACGTTTGTCATACTCAAGAAGTTGCACAGAAACACCAGGATCCATGTTCTGAAGATTGAAGAAAGGAAAAAGAGAATTTTACTAATACAGCAATAGGAAATAGAAAGACATCAAAATGATTAAAAAATTAAAAATATCGGCAATAAGTTAATTTCATTTCTCCATCAAAATAACAGAATGCTTATTATAGGCGGAATTCTTCATCAAAATAACAGAAGGCTTAATATTCTACATCAACGATCAAACCCAAAAACCTTCAACCTTCGGAGAAACGCATTAATTTTGCACATTTGAGTTCTTCTGACTATTTCCAATAACCAACACCAATCACTCTCACTTGAACCAAAAGGCACACATACAGAGAGAGAAGCGATAGAACATAACAACACGAAAACGAGAACGAACCTTGAGATAAGCGTAGAGCGTAGGGCAGGCGATGCAGGCGACGCGAGAGTTGGCGGCGGCGCAGAGAGTGAGAACCTCTTGGGCGACGGTTGTGGCAGTTTCGGCGCTGTACCAGAACTGGCTCAGCCTCCAATCCTCGGACACCAGCGAGACCTCGGAATCTCCGGCGGCGGAGTCGCGTTGCTGCTCGGCGAGGAACTCGTTGAGCGCGGCGAGGGTGTGGGAGCTCAGAACCGGTTCGCCGTCGTCGTCGTGGTGGAGCGGCGGCGAGGAACCGGTGAGTCCGGTAACCGAGTTAGGGTTCGGTTGGAGTTGCTCCTCCATTGGAGTAATCTGGTGTGGGGAGGAGTAGAGTAGAAACTCGAACACGTGGTAGGTGTAAGCGGTGTTGCTTAGAACCCGGGTTGCTACAACTGGATATATGTTGGGTTCGGATCTGAACTACGAGCGATCTTACTGACCAAGCCCAGCCCCATAGGAACTACGCACATTCAGGTTTTAAGGATGGGTAGAAAATATTTTTAAATATTTTGTTTTATTAATTTCAATTAATAATCATAAAAATATTTTACATATTAATTTAAATTTATATATCAAAGTATCATATTATTTTTTATTTTTTTTAAAATTTATAAGTTTGATTTATATATATTAAAAATAGTTTATTGAAATTTCATGTAGAAAATGAATTATTAAGTGAAATAAAGTGAAATATATTTTAATTTAATTTTAATACTATTTTCATTTTAGAAGTTAATTATATATAATTTTAATATTAATATATTATTTTAAAATATTTAATTGGTCTGACCCATCTTTTTCGAATCATAATCAAATCAAGTTTGGGTCAAGTAAATAATCAAATAAATAAATATATTGAGATGGTGTCTATACTCTATCAAAAAAAATTTCGTAAGTTAATGTAAATTACTAGCTATTGTATAATTTATATTTTATGTATTTGTATTTTCAAAATTGTTAATGTTTAATTGCAAATGAATGTTAGCAACACTATGTCAACCATCACTTTATAACACTATTATTATCAAAATTATTAAAAATTATAAATTTAATACATTGTGCATCTCATTTAATGGATTTTTATTCTAATTTATTAGTAAAATTCATTAAAATCTGTGAATTTCAATAATCTTCGGGAATATTAGAGAAAACTTATTACATATAGTTTCTCTAACATTATTAATTGTTTAGTTTTGAGTGTGTAGGGTTTAAGATTTAGAGTTTATTTGAGAAATTCCTTTAAAAATGTGTATAGATACAGATTAAAAAAAATTATATGTTGAAAGGAATATCCGATTTAAAAGATTAAGTATACATGTAGAAATAAAAGACGGGTAGACTGAAATGAATGAGAGTTTTGGTTAAATCGGAATGACAGTGTACGAAATAAATTTTCAAAGAATACAAAATGAGAGAGAATATTGAGAATATCTAATGCAGAACTTGAGAGTTCACCCTAGGTACTCAAAATCCTGGAAATTAAAACAACCGTCTTACTTTTCTTTTTAAGACTAGTATTTTTATCCGAGAACATGAGACTTGAGTTCATCCTATGGACTCAAATCATTAAATTCTTGGATCAAGATCGCTTTTGGTAGCCACACTTCGAAAAAATTTCTGTAGTTCATTTTAACAATCTTATAATGAAAATCGTTATCAAAAATCTTTCAACCCATTAGCAATGATTTAAAACCTTCATCCCACTTCTATAATTTCGTCCTCACCAACGTTGATTGTCTCGTAATATTATTATACATGATCGTCAATCTTGGTCTTTGTAACCCAGATTTTTTATAACATACAAGAGCATCTAACATTTCTTTCTATATCAATAAACTGCCATTCTATTAAAAAACAACAAATTACACATTTTTATTTAATGAATTACTTACACAAAACCTTGGAAACTTATATTTTATCATGAACTTAATAAAATAAACTTAAATTTCGGTTGATAGGTAACAGGATTTAGTGTAAACCCCAACAAAAGCATGGTAGACTTCAATGTTATGATTAAACTAACACAATTACAGAAAAAAGACAGAATAAGCAGTTGAATCATCACAGCAATTTATGAAGCAGGATAGTGCTAAACTCGGGGTCTTGGAATATAAATTTACGTCCAAGCAACAAAATCGTTCATGTAAATCCTTAAGCAAACTAAAAATTAACTAAAGCCATTGAAAGTATTACACAATATTCGAAATTTAAATAAATGAAGTACAAAGATAGAAACAAAATCTTTCCGGTCACCAATACTGCTTCTACAGACAGCTTAACGATTAGCCTTGGCAACTCTTTCAATCTCATCCTTTTTCTTGATGGCATAACTGAAATTAAGTAATATTTTTCAGCAAAACCAAAACACTCAAGACTAAAATTACATAAATAAATTTGTATACACATGAAATATGATTATAAAAGTATACCTGTTGGATGAACCCTTTGCTGCATTAATAAGCTCATCAGCCAAGCATTCAGCAATGGTCTTGATATTCCTGAAAGCAGCTTCACGAGCACCGGTTGTTAGAAGATAGATAGCCTGATTAACACGTCGGAGGGGTGAGATATCCACAGCCTGTCTCCTCACAACTCCAGCAGAACCAATTCTAGTTGCATCTTCACGGGGACCACTGAATAAATGCAAAAATATATACATACAATCAGGTCAGAGATAGAATATGGAAACATAAAAGTAACTTAATCTTTAAATAGTTACAGAAACAAGGTTTATAAATGGACCAGTTAAAAGTTGGGTGTAAGACAGCATGTCATAATCAAAATTCATATCATGTGTTGGATTATGTAGGTTTATGGTTTCGTGGGTAGGGTAAGGTGAAGGTGAAGGTGAAAGTTATGGTGGTTTGGGTAAAATTAACACAGTATCATCCCATTGCCTACGTGGATTTTCTTAAAAAGTTGGTAACACGTGGTGCCCTAGGAACGTGGGCAAGAAAATGAGGGGAGAAAGAATTAATAAGTGATAGGAAGTAATATAATGGATCAGGCATGTTAACAGGGAACGAATTCTCTCCATTTCTTTTTTAATTATTTTTTTTCTATTTTTATAATTTTGAGTTTCTATTTTTTTCCATTTTTATAATTTTGAGTGTATAAATGATATTGAATATTTTTTATAATTAATATTTAATATCCTTTATGCATTTAAAACTACATAAATAAATAAATAAATAATAGAAAAGATCTTACTTATAAAAATTTTCTCAATCTCGTAAATTTAGTGATTAGTTACCTTGAACTAAGGAGGTTAGTTATCTCGAACTAAGGAGTATTGTAATTATGAAATTCATTCAAGTCTTGACTTTCTTGAGACTCAACTAGTTTTATTGTCTCAATTACAACTTTGTGTGTGTATTCGTTTGAGCAAAATACGTATTTTGTTGTTGGATAGTCATGACAATCATCTACATGGCACGAAGTATCTATTCATTAGATCTAAACATCTTTTACAAAGATTAACAAATCCAATAAGTACCAAACATTCAACACCATCAAATACAACACAATATTCGCAACTAAACAATTGCACAACAAAAGTACAATAGATCCACCTCCACAGAGTGTCCTTAATACACTTGATCGACTCTAATGCCACAAAGTGTAACGATCTAATATGTCACTATACTTATTATTGAACAGCTATCATGCCACGGAAGACTAAATAACACGCATCATAAGATATAGTTTATCATACAATCAGTAACTAGTATCATATACATACATGTAATATGCAAAATATAGTACTAAGAGTAAAATAACTCTAAACATCGTAGCCATCAACAAAAATCTAGCCACCTCTAAAGTGGCTATCCTCCAACTACACAAGCTATCCCACTAATTTGGTTTTACTCTCATATAAAGTATGATTATTGCAACCCACAACAAAAACATAGGATAATCTTGTGAAAAGAATTCAACATAATAATAGCTTATAAACACATTATCATAGCAAAATATAACAACTTACAACAGAACAACATTATCGACACTACAACTTAACATCTCACAATATATTCAACATATCAACATATACATCACACTCCGTCGTCACGTATATCAACTACGAAAATCTCCTATAATATAAGATGAACAGTTTAAGTAATTAGACCTTATCGAACAACAACACTGGTATAAAACCATAAAACAATAGTTGACACTAAGGTCATAAAACAATAGCATGCACAAGGATAGAAACAACAACTAGCATGAGCTAAATTGATTTCTCAGATTTCAACACTTAAATTAAGAAGTATGATACTCAATTTTCAAAAACAACTTTACTTCCCTCTAGTTTTTTGTATCACATTTCAGACATGTATCTAACTCATATTTGTAGCTTATCAACTTAGCAACTTTATCAACATTCAACATACAACTTATCGACTTGAACAACTCAAACATCACATATATTTACAACATGAACAACTTTAAGAGAGCAACATCAAAATAGCTTAAGCAAATTAAAATAATTCACAATTTTACAACATGTTCAACTTACTAAATATTAACACATATCATCTTGTAACATCACTTATACAACTTATTCATCATCAATCAATTGTTAAAAAAACTTAAAGACAAAACTTTTCATCATACGACTCACGCTTGACACCACTCATCGGGTACCTGGCACTATTGAGGCAGAGAGCTCCCTATCTTTCCCACACCTAGAGTCACACCACTCACATTTGACATGATTGAGACAAAAAGTGTCCCGCACTCCTATACCAACCAAGTAGAGAGCTTTCTTCTTAACTCACACCTAGTGACACACATTCTAGCGTCCGATGTGAACCCAGGCAAAGATGAGTCTCTTTTCTCGTGCCTAGCACCATTCAACCCATGTTCAATGTGATTCCAACCTAAGACGAGTTTCTCTCATCACATCCGACGCCATCGATCCTACACCTGACATGAGTAAGACAAAGACCACTCTTTGGAGTCTCGCCTGGCACCATTAAGACATACTCGATGCGATATCAGGTTTTGCACTTGTGCAAAACCTGATTTCTCCCAATCTCTTGAAAATTAGCAAATCCCAAAACACATGCAATGCAATAAACTACATATATACATCATGTACACCACCATTCCATCATAAAAAAGAACATGCAATAAGAATCAATCTAGAATCAACTCAATTTCTCATATCCCACTTTAAAAGCATTAAAATCCTTCAAACATCATCAGCTTAATCACTTAATTTTTCTAATTGCCAACAATCAACTCGATTCAACATCATAATCACACAAGAATCTAAGATCACAACTTTCCTTATCTCTCGGAGAATCAATCTGCAAGAGGAGAAGAAGAAGCAACTTCGCACTACTCCGACTTGAATCTTCCACTTCCACAAGCTCGGATTTCAACCCACAACTAGAACTTCAACTATAAGAGGTAAGAGAAGGAAGGTTTTTTTAGAATGATTTGGGAAAAAGAAGAGGATTTTGGGTTCTTTGACTTTTCTCTAGAGTTCTTGAAAGATATGAATTATAAGTCTCTTTTTGAAAAAATTTCCTTCTAATACATTTCTCGAGCCAACTTTACTCATCTCTAGTTCAACCTCTTAGAGATCAACTTGCTCTCAAGGTATCCTCGCCTCAAAGCTCTCAATGGTGTTTACAAAATCAAATAACATGATTATGAAATGATAGCATTATATATTTAATATTAAATAAAATTTGAATAACTTTATATCTCAAAAAACTAAATTTAAGCAATAATAATAGTTACAAATATTTTTTATTATTATTTGAAAAATGGCTTTTAAAAATAATACAACTTTTTTATATACTTTAATGTTTTTATTGGAGCGTGAATTATTTTTAAAATTCTATATATAATATCGATGTGAAGTTTTTCTTTTTTTACACATAAACCTAATAAAATTTGATATTTAATTATAAGCTATTTGTTAATATGAGGTTGTGATTTAAGTGAATTATTATTTTTATTATATATATGTATATAATAAATATATCAACAAATATATTTATTATATATATATATATATGGACAATTGATTAGCAACAAAATTTAATGAAGATGAGTGTAAATATAGGCACTACAAACTCAACCAACACTATATCATATATATAAATTTCTTATAATATTAAAGTTCTTCATTGTAAAAATAAAAGTTCTTCACCTCCCTACTCCTCACCTTGACACCTCCACCATTATTTCTCTTTCTCTTTCTTCTACTCATTCACTCAATAATGATACTTCTCCCTTTGCTCTTTGTCGTCCAACTTGTTCTTGTCAATCACCCTCATACCTTCATGATTTTCACGTCACCTTTGCCTCAACTGCACCTATATCTTCACCAAGTATTCATTATCCTCTCGAGTCTTATATTTCATATAGTTGTTTATCTTCTTTTTATCATCTTATATTGTCTATCTCCACCACCATCAAACCATCTTCTTATGTTGAAGCTTCCAAGAGTGATTGTTGGCTTTAAGGTTGTGAGAGATTATATCATTGCACTTGAAGCGAATAATACCTAGACCACCACTTTCTTACCTGCAAACAAGTCTATTATTGGGTGTAGATGGATCTACAAGATCAAACACAATGTTAATGGATCTGTTGAAAGATACAAGGCGCGCCTCATTACTAAAGGATACACACAACTTGAGGGTCTTGATTTCCTTGACACATTTTCCCTAGTGGCCAAGCTCACTACTGTGTGTCTTCTTTTCTCTTTGGCGGCCATTTATAATTGGCATCTCAAACAGTTGGATGTTAATAATGTGTTTCTGCATGGGGAACTTAACGAAGAAGTTTACATGCAACTCCCTCCTGATTGTATGTGCTCAAGCAAACCAGCCGCTAGTGATATGCCTGTCTCTCCACTTTCCTTGTATCCCATGGATATCATCATTCTTCTACATATCATTCTTTGTTTTTAAAGTTCACAAATGCAATTTTCACTGTTCTTCTAGTGTACATGGATGACATCGTTCTTGTTAGTAATGACATATTTGAAATCCATGACATCACTACTCTTCTTGATCAAGCTTTCAAAATCAAAGACCTTGGAGACTTGACGTATTTTCTTGGTTTGGAGGTCGCTACAAACAAAACTAGTATTCATTTGTCTCAACGCAAATATACGCTAGATATTCTCTCTGACACTGGCATGCTAGCTTCCACTCCTATGGATTATTCCGTTCATTTATCTGCTACTAGTGGAGAATCCTTAGCAGATCCATCACCTTATAGGAGACTCATTGGGCGCTTGATTTATCTCACAAACACTTGTCATGACATCACTCATGTTGTCCAACATCTCAACCAATTTGTTGCCAAACCCACTTCAGCTCATCATCAAGTTGTGTTTCGTGTCGTTCGTAACTTGAAACACGCCCCTGGATATGGCATCTTCCTTACTGTTGATAGTCTTCTTCAGTTGAAAGCCTTTAGTGACTCTGACTAGGGTGATTGTGTGGACTCTCGTTGCTCTATTACAAGTTTTTCAGTTTACCTTGCCCATTCCCTCATCTTGTGGAGATCAAAGAAGCAACCAATTGTCTTTCGCAACTCTTCTGAGGCAGAATATCGCACTCTCGCTTCTACCTCGTGTGAACTTAAATGGCTCATTTATCTTTTGGAAGACCTTCGCATCCCTTTCACATGGCTTGCTCTCCT